CGGATTCGTGCCCCGGTCCGGGAAGATCCCACATGCCGCGGAGCGGCTGGGCCCGTGAGCCGTGGCCGCTGAGCCTGCGCGTCCGGAGCCTGTGCTCCGGAACGGGAGAGGCCGCAACAGTGAGAGGCCCGCGTACCGCAAAAAAAAAAAGTGTTAATCCTCTCAAAGTGTGTCGTTTACTCATGGGAAATGTTTACTCTCCAAGTGGATCAGACCATTACAACACTGGAAAATGCACATCATTTACCTGAAATATTACAAAAACATTTTAAAAGAATAAATACATTAATAGGCTGATTTGTGGTGAAATGTGACATTTTATTAATCAACTAAATGATATTTCACTTGCAAATCAATGTTCAAATGCTACTCATTAACATGAGGTTGCTTTGTTTTATGGGAAGCAAAACCCATGACACATTTTTTTTAATCCTTTTAGAGAATAATTAGAATGTGTTACCCTTATTCCCCTAAAGAGATAAACATGGAGGAAATCTAATCTAGTGTTTGTTTGCGAAGTCCATATCAAATGCAGCATGACTTCCTGTGGTTTAATTACATAATTTAAACAGTCAAATTGGATATATGATCCTGGTTTCTAAATAGCATCTAGTGACTTTAAGAATCAACACGAAATTCAAATATAAGCTCCCTGAGAGCTGCTACTACATTTCTCTTGACTATTCTATGACTTCCAGCCCAGGAAATTGAACCAACACAAATAATAAAAGGAATAATAATTAAGCCATACTCTTTGTTGTCAGAAAATCAGTACACAAAACTTAGTGGCTGATTTGCTGATTTGTTTATGCAATTATGTTTTTCCTTCTGGGAATGAATTTTCATTTGTCTCTTACGGGTCGTTGACATTCTTAGAGGCAAAGGAATTCAAGACACAATTCTTTGTCAATTACTAGTAAATTCAAGTTTATTACTGTTTTGCAAAAAAAAAAAAAAATCCATGTAATTGGTTGATGTTGATGTCAGTTACTTGACAAGAAATGAACTGTGAAAGTGAACAACACCAAATGCTACAGGTTTAATACACTTTGAAGGAAGTTACAATTGCCTGGTGGAAGGGGCTGCAGGATGACAAAATGAGAGGTTTATTTAGCGTCTGGGAGAAGCTTATAAAAGAGCTTAAATCCTCATTCCTTCTAACATCTTAACAGCTGTGCAGTTTCTTACAAAATATGTTTTATCGTTTCAAGAAATGCTGTTAACCTCGCAGTTTTAAAACTGAATGAACAAGGCCTCTTGGACAAATTGAAAAACAAATGGTGGTACGACAAAGGAGAATGTGGCAGCGGGGGAGGTGACTCCAAGGTTAGCCTCAATGTCACCAAAAGCGGGTAAACAGTATGTAAAGTAATAGGTGCATCTGCTGGGAGACATAATTTAGACCTACTAATACCACTGAAGTTGCTAGTCAAGTCCCTTCACAAACTTAAGTATGCAATTACTGTCAAAGCAAAAATATTTGCAAACAATATCAATTTGGGGACACACTAACAAACCTAACTAAAATAGTCACTGAAAATCTCTGGCTCTGAAGAAGTTATGGATCAGACATAGTCCTAGGAACCTCCGTTTTGGAAAGCAGGCTTTTGAAAGAGCAATTAGCGAAGAGGAGAGAGAACAGAGAAGTTCAGTCTGTCTTGTTTTCCTCACCAGAGCTGCCACGAAATGTTTTTAAGTAATAACAATAATCTGACTCCACTAAATCAGGTACCTACCAGAAAGACATTTCTCCACTTAAAACTCTCAGGCTTCCATTAAATAGCAAGTTATATAACAAATCAAAGGTAATCATATGAACTAGACAGTTTTTGCCTTCCATAACGGGTCAAACTAAAGAAATATCCGGCTACAAAACTAAGACCAACTCAGCTTTATCTTTACTGCATCCCTGTCTTATTTCCAGCTTCATAAAATAATGTTTTACTTTTATTTCTAAGCAGAAGTTATTAACTAGTGTTCCAGAACTCTTCTTCACTGTGGATAGACGTAAAGAAAACAATCCAGTGATGGGAATATTCTGACTGAATTTTCTTTCCTTACATATCTTCAACTGGTATGTAAGAACATTGAAAAATTTTAAATATACACTCTTTCTTTTAAATTCTAGAGAATTGCCCAAAACAAGTAGTCCTGCTCATCTTCAGGTTCTTGGTTGGGCTACAAATTCTCTCACTTGCCTGGCCACCAAACCCAGAGAATTATGCTCTGTTTAAAAAGGGTATATCTGTCAAAGAGGCTGCAAACCTCAACCTCTTCCAATGCTGGTAACTTCCCCCTCGATCCTGATCTGAAAAGCCTTTCAAATTCAGCTTACTTGTATATTTCCATCTTATAGACAGCCCTGTTGCAGGAGAAGAAAAAATAAACTTTGCAAAATGAATATTCTGGCCGCAGAAGGAGGCATGAAAAAGGAGGAGACACAGAATTGTGTGGACCCAATTCTGATCATCCATCTCCTATCCTGAGGGAGAATCTGAGTCCCTGGAGAAAAAAAGCAGAGAAAAGCTAGAGAGAGTCGTCAGGGATTCTTCTGAGATGGTTCCCCTTTAAGACACCTCCATTCAAGACAGCAACCGTATGTTTTCTTCAGAAGTATTAACTCTTTTATATTTTGGAGCCCCAACTTGCCTAGAATGTTCTGATCATTTCCATAAAAATATGAATACATAAATAATATACACACATAAATAGAAAATTGCTCATTTACACTAATAATCTACTCCTCTATGCAAATTAGAAATGTAAGAAAATGTACTCTAATAGGACCAGAGAAAACAAAACTGAAGATATTCTATTCAATTAGAAAAACTTTGTTTGCAAATTTTAATTTTTATCACAAATATAAACAAAGTATAACATTGCTTAACAGATAAAATTTTCCACAAAAAATGAATAATGAATTCCTGTTTTAGTGTATATTAAAGACTCTTAGACTCTTTCCAGAGAAAAATAAGCAAGCAGAAGCAGAAATGTACACATAATGGAAAAATCTACGTAACAAAAGTCATTTTACTATACTTAAATAAGGGATTGGACAACTCAATTGAATTTTAATCTGTTTGCATCCAACATTGGTACATAATGGACACCAAATAAATATTTGTTGTCCAAAGAAATATATATGAAGCTAACCTTGTAGTTTTCAAAAATCAAACTGCTTATTCCTGTACTTTCACCTGTTACTTTCACCAAACATGAACTATAAGATGACATTCTAAAATGTTATTTCATATTTTGAGTCATTTTCTAAAATGTTATAAAAATTAACATAAAATGTATGTTAATTACATATATAATTACAGTATGTTCTATTTTCCCTCAGGAATTTTGTTTTCACACTAGAAAAATATTTCTAGTCGGTTGTATATTGATATAATATTTATCACCAATAGAATAGGTAATAATAATAATACCCTACTCTGCATTTATTTTAAAAGGTGGTATTTTAAATGGCCTGACCTAACTTAGAATCAAAGTAAATTACCAGGAGATAGTTGCTGCTTTTAAATTTTTGTTCCGTAGCTCCTTTGGGTGACTGATTTTCTTTTTAAACTTACCCCTTCCATTTGGCCTGATCTTTATCGAAAGAGGTGAAAGGAGGAAAAGCGCTGAATTGGAGGAAGAGGCTGGCTCTTAAGCCTTTGCTAAGTATAAAGCCAAAACAGAAGAGAAAATTAAATACTGCCAGTTTATCTACAAGGCACATTGTGTGAAATGCACACTCAGTGATCTCAGCACAAGTATACAAATCATCTGGTGTGATCTTGACATACAGAATCTTAGTAGGAAAACATTAACTTTCCTAACAGTGATTCATCTGGCAAAGGGGGGAAAGCATGGAAAGCTGTACCACACATGAATATGTTCCAATGAGGGGCTAATTGACCCACCTGTCATTTACAGGATTATAACAAGGAAAGACATCTCCAGCCTCCCATACAGCAGCACATTATTAAAGTTCTGCTTTACCTGGGCTATGCACCAGTATCTATGGGTAAAAGAAGAAATACCCACTGTTGATTGATTGATTGAATATAATCAACAACTGAATTATTTGGAGTCACAGTGGCAGCTTCCAGTTCACAAAATAATTAGCATCCCCGCTCAACTGATAGCCATTCCCAGAGCATGACCAAGGCAGCCATAGGCCAGAGGCTCCACAGAAGAAATAAGGAAAAAGGTCTGGTATGTTAAATGAAATAAAGTGGAAAGGCATGATTTGGGAGGGGATGAATTTGTTTGAAAAATTACTCCTTTGAATGTTATTGTGCTGTGGCCTTTTTTATGGTCATAAGAAATTCATACTCATTCTTGTGAATAAGAGAAATTTACTAATTGGCAATGAACCAATTTAAAAGTTTCATTGCAAAGTCTAAAACTCATATCTCCTTTGATTAATCTGATATGATTTAGTCTGAGCACAAATGATACACAGAATTTTATGCCAATTTTTATGTGAGTTGTTTAATCCAGGTTCTAGTTGGAAATTTTGGCAATACTTGTAATCATCAATGACCCATAATGCTAATAATATCTACAAAATTATTGATTTTTTTCTGTTTGTTTTATACTTTATTCTCCTCCAATATATATAAAAATAGGCATACTCATGGATGTGGATATTCATATTTAAGTCATTTTGTAAATGTTGTTACCAAATAATGAGTTCTTTAGGAATTATAGTAAATCTCACAATACCCAGTTTTTAATTTGGCATTTTGAAGAATACAGTCCATTCCTGACTTTAAAATATGTTATACTTGCAGATGGCCTTCTCCCCAGCCATGGAAACCAATGCAATAATAAAGGGGTTATTATGGAACATATGCATTCATAAGCAGGAAAAAATGTTGTAAACAAAGACCAGTAAGGGAAGCTAACCCTTGGAGAAGGACTCTCCTACTAATGAATTTCTTGCTCAGTGCCTGACATTCCACCAGTTGACCATTAAGCTTGGTTGTTAATAAATATCTATTATTCAAAATTCCAATCTAATCTTATCCTCTAAAACCAGACTACTGGAGTGAATAGCAGAATGGACAAAGAGGCAAGGGGAAAATGAAGCAGGTAGGAGAAATGGTCCTTAAGAAGGAAGAGAGATAAGTCAAAGGCAGTCTTCATTTAATCCAGGGGTTCCCAACCCTGTCTGCAACCTCTTAGGAACCAGGCCACACAGCAGGAGGTGAGCAGTGGGCGAGTGATAAACTGCATCTGCCACTCCCCAGCATTACCACCTGAACCATCCCTCCCCCGACCCCTTGGAAAAATTGTCTTCCATGAAACTGGTCCCTGGTGCCAAAAAGGTTGGGGACCGCTGATTTAATCCATATTTTTGGATTCAAAATAGCTGTCCCATCTATAAGAAACTTTAAGGAAACTGCTTTCATTTTCCTTCTCTTTTCAGCATTAAGTCCTCCTCCTCCCTGCACAACCCATGCAAGAAGTACAATATAGACTAATATAAGGTACTTTACACGTGAGTTAAAAAGGCTTTGGTGAGCTAGCCTGGGGACCTAAAAACCCTTAGTATCAGTTAAACAAAAATGCTTGTTCTGGATTCAGAATAATTTAAATGTAATAATTTTACAGAGCCCCTACCCTGAGTCAGATATCCTTGTAAATATTTTACAAAGATGAATGAGATGTGGCTTCTATTCTCAAGGAGTTCACAGTTCACCAACCAACCCTCAGGTGTAGTTTTGTAACAATCATTTCATAAATGGAAGTGGGGGATGTAATGTGGGGGTGGGGAGGTTATAGACAGTAAAATCTAGATTAACTGGGGCTAACCAAGGACCCCAATTAACCATAATCCTCACCCCACACCCAAACTCAGGTTTTTAGTACAAAGCGTTAAATCATGCTGACATTAGATTTTAATCCAAAAAACAATATAATATTTTATGAATGTGGCAAGTGCATATGCTTAAATTGAACAATAAACGTTGTAAGATCTTTTGACATTGATACAAAAATTTAATTGAATTCAGAAACCAGATAAACAAAAACTTATATTTTAGAAGCTTTTTTCAGAAAAACAGTACCAAAAAAAATGGATTTTAGTTTAACTGTTAGTCAGAAAACTCAATTAACCAGAAACCCCTATTTCCTAAGTCTTCTGTTGTTAATATTTTCAATTACACAGACCATTACAAACCCTAATTCAGGTACTTCCTAGCTGACTAGATGAGTTAACCTCTCTGTGCTTTGTTTCCTCATTTGTAAAATACAGGTGATAATAGTAACTAAACATGTAAAATATTTTTAATAGTCCCTGGTACATAGTGAGTGCTCAGTAAATGTTAGGAATCATCATCACCATAATTATTAACGCATTACCTAGTTGTGTAGATAGGTTCATAGAATTAATCCCTTGGTAACCAAATAAATGTATGCTGTATTTCTCCAAATGCACTCAATATTTCCTAGAAGAAGTGAAGCATTAGGAGATACAGCCAGACAAAATGACTGTGGCAGCCTTAAAAATGTCAAGAGGAATGCAAGGAGTCTCTCTCCGAATGTAAAAGCAAAAAGAAACAAAAACCAAACAACCACAAAAACAGTAACAACAGAAGATCCTAGGCGTTACTGCTTCCCATCCATCTTTTTAGGCTTTATTCTACACACACACAGGTTAACATGGGAATGAAAGCCAGAAGAATTCTTAGGTTCCTCAGAACACTGACACTGACTGACAAGTGAAACTTTCCTCTCTGAGACTCCTTGTATAATATTTAGTATTGAAGGACTCAAAGACAGTAGAAAAGAAAAATGGAATTTTATAGTATGAGGAGTTTGTCTGTTTATAAAAATCTTGGTTACCCCTAACCTATCATGTATTTGTTCTAAGAATTTATAGAATATATTATAGTTACTGCACTTTAGAGTATATTCATATGGTAGACTCAAGATAGATGAAAATTATTTCTGGTGATATTATTTAAGTTAAATACTGCAATTCAGAAGGAATATATCAGCATGGGCTTATACTTTAAACTAATGATTTACATATTTGTCTTATAAGGACTTTCCTCTGCATGAGATGGCCCATTGTCAGCAACACCTGACTCACCCTCCTCTTTCAATTAGGTCTTGGATGAGAGTGGCAAAGGAGTCAATTTAATGATGGATACTGTAGCCATACATTTAAGGCATAGAGTAAAATTCCACTAGCTGAATCATAATGCCGGCAAGAAATGAAATCAGTCCTACCTAGCTTCTATTTTAAGCCTGTCAACCTATAGCCACTTCCATTAATTTTGAAAGAGAAAAAAAGGAGCTTCTGGATTTTGAATGACTCCACATTTATGGTGGGAAAACTGAAAATGCTCAAGAAACCCAATCCAGGCTAATAGTTTTGGATTCACAGTAATTGCATACATTTTATTTAAAAATCGTCCCTAGCAGTATGTGCCTGTTACCTAAAGCGATGGAGCAGGCCCCAGTTTTATGTCTGATTTGAAACCTGGGCCTACAGTACAAGACATAACACCTACTGTGGCCTCTGCTCTGTCACTTTGCCATGCGATTCTAATGTAGTTTTACTTGAATAACATAAAATAACATATATAATGTTATTTATGTTATTTTCCACGTGAAGAACTCCTGTAAACCTTGCCGTTTTGAAACTCAGTGAGGCAGGCGTCTTAGACAAGCTGAAAAACAAATGGTGGTACGATAAAGGTGAATGTGGACCCAAGGACTCTGGAAGCAAGGTCAGTCGCTGCAGTTCGGGGCCTCCTCTTGTGCTCACAAAGCAGTAAATGGGAGCAATTGTCAAGAGTATATGGAAACAGTAAAAACTAAATGTTTCTCTATACACTGCCTAAACTAGAAGCTAATGTCATAGATTTAAGCCAAAGGGAGTAGCTTTTCAGAAAATTGCAAACTGCTCCTCAATATTAAGGCTTTTAAATAAACAAATTAACTGTAAAAATATATAAAATAATAAAATTCCTATATTATTCTCAAATATACGTACCACTAATAAAAATAGTGCTTTCGGATTTGGTTTTTGTTTGTTTTGGAGGCAAAGACCATGAAATGTATTATTTCAAGAACTGATGTATTCTCAGAACAGGAAATGGGGAATTGATCAGCAGTCATCTACAGAAAGAATATTTTAAATATTAAATATATTTTATTCAGAAGTTCAGTCTTTTGTCACCATTTTGCCAAGCATTCCACTTTAGTTTGAAGATGACCTATTATATTTTTGTTCTGATAAACAGAGTAAACCTTCCAATTCTGTTCTATCAAAATTATTTTAATAAATCAATGTTTATGAATAATATCTTCAGCTTCTAAGATCTCATTCATGAATTTTTTTTAGAACAATGCAGGAACCTATAGGCCTGATCATGTTGAGTACAAATGAAAATAGTGTTACAAACAGTTATATTTTCATTTAAAGAAAAAAGTGTAACAATTTATCAGTGAATCTAAATACCTCCACAAATTAATAGGACATAATGCCTGAAAGGCATTGTTGAGGATTCTTGAAATCTTCATTTATTTTTTTCCTGTATCTTCTTTTAGAAAGAAAAAAATTATTGGTTATTCTACGACATTAAATAAGTGACTTACATATATAAGAGAACCTCAGTTAATTTAAGAAAGAGACAAAGTAATGTTAACTGATCTCTATTCAGGCTTCTCCCTGTGTTTTAATCACTTTTGTCTGCCTTTGAACCAGAGTGGAATGAGAAAAGCTTGGCCAAATAGTGAAATAGCTATTTCAAGCCCTTATGTAAAGTTAGAGAAGCAAAAGTACTTAATAAGTGATTATTTTTAAAATGAAGTTACCCTAAATTTTTGGTCCAATCAGTTGATGTTATGGCTAAGAGAACAGTGTACCTAGTAATTTTTAAAATTAAACCTTCTCCTAATAAAACTATTTAAGCTTGCACAAAACACACTGCTGACCACGGGGCATCCTTCAGGTAGTCTACCCAAAATACTTATTCAAATAATGTTATACAATATATATTTACAATTTATGAAAAATTATGAATTCTTGTTACAATTTTAATTGCAATTATATGCTTCCAATAATATGCTTGACTATTTCTGAATTTATTATGAAATAATATGTATTCTAAATCTCTGGAGAATAATATGTCTAAAATATTAACTGATCAAACATTTTTAAGTGAAATGGAATCATATTTTAAAGTCAATAAAAATAGTTATAAATCTGTCCATAAATAATTTAGTTCTCAACTGACCGTGGAAACATTTGTATATTTTTAAAGTATCTTTTTAAAAAGTTTCCAATGTGTTGCATATATAGTTATTCCTAAATAGTATATAATATGTTAAAGTGACACTTTCCAGGAGATTTCTTAAACAGATGTGACTAAAAGAACAAATAACATATACCCTAGCACACTATTTGCACGTTTTTGGTAAAGTCATGATGAACAAAATGTGAAACTGATAGCTTAAAGTCCTTTAGTTCTTTAAGTAGGAAGCATGCAGTTAAATTTATTCAAAAGAAATATCAAACATTAAAAATGTTTTAATGGAGGGAAAGCCAAAAGAGGTTTCCTTCACATGTAATTGGGTTTTAAAAATGTCATTTTCAAACTTAACAATAATAAGCCCACTTCTGCCTATGCTTATATATGGCTAAGTATAGTGGTTTTCATTGTATATTTAGCAATGATAAATGTTATAGATTTTATTGAATGTAATTACACACAATTTATTGGTAATCATCATAACTTCACTTCTTCCAAGACCTATAAGCTTTATGTTTAAATCCATAAAGCTACACCAGTGACTTATACATGTTAAATAATTTCAGGTTAAATTAAGCATTTACTTTAATTAGCTGTTTGGATTTCATGTGTTCTTTCATCTTCTGGATGTGACTTTGCACAGTTAACTCAAGTGTCTTTATCCCCCCCAGGACAAGACGAGTGCCTTGAGCCTGAGCAACGTAGCAGGCGTCTTCTACATTCTGGTTGGCGGCTTGGGCTTGGCAATGCTGGTGGCTTTGATAGAGTTCTGTTACAAGTCCAGGGCAGAAGCGAAGAGAATGAAGGTGGCAAAGAGTGCACAGACTTTTAACCCAACTTCCTCGCAGAATACCCAGAATTTAGCAACCTATAGAGAAGGTTACAACGTATATGGAACCGAAAGTATTAAAATTTAGGGGTAGGACTTAGGGCCTACTACAGTGAGTGGGTGATGCATTCTGTAAATGCAGTGTTGTGACCTGTCTGTGGTGGTATTGCTTGCTTCTAATTTACAGCTTTACATTTTTGAAAACTTCAGTGCACTGTTCAGTTTTCTCTGGCTGCAGATGTACTGTTCGAAACTTTATGTTGCCAATAGATATCTGCATTGAAAGTGTTCAAAAGACTAAAACAAACTTCCAGAATTGCTCTGTAAAATGTTTTAAACAGTATATTCTACCTGAAAATTGGGAGAAATTTGAAATTAGATCTGGGTTTCCTTGTACACAGAACAGGCTAATCTTCTCTGGAACAAACTAGTTTTAAGGTAAATGCTAACAAAGAAAGCATAAAACCTGTTTCAAATGATCAAAGCCTAGACAGTTGCCTATTTTTAATAAGGTTGTGTTGTTTTCTGAGAAAATATATGTAAAATCTCCAAGGCACATAGTAAGCACTCAATGAATTTTAGCTCCTATTCTAATTTGTTTTATATACATTAGCCATCTTTCTATATTTTTAAAGAGTGAAACCCTGCTATTTGTTCATCTGGCAGTAGTCCTTGAGTCAGACCTTTAGGCAGGAGTGATCATCAGAATATTGACTACAATTCACATTTATTAGATGAAATTCAACTTTTATTTTCACAGCATCACTAAGGTGAACAGGCATTTTAGGCAATTTCTCCATCAAAGATGTCAGCAATATATATTCATTAGGAGAGACACAGTAAAAATAAAAATTGCAGTGAGTATTTATTGACTTTTGTTTTCATTTCAATTGCTTTTAAGTAAGCCAGATCAGTCCCACTTACACCCTTTCATCATGTGACAATAAAAAATTATAAGCATTCAGTAAAATATAGGATGGAGGTCATTTTTTTTAAGACTCTAAATGTCTAGTACTTTTTCCCTCTGATAATAGAAAATGGTTTTAAAATAAGATCTGGAAGCACTTGTTGCTTTTCTTAAAGTCAGGTCTCTAAATTCCATTTTCTGAAATTATATATAATGGCCATTCTATTAACAATGATAAATGAAACTTTGAACTCCCAAGAGACACTTAGTGCTTGAGGCACCCTAGAGTCAAACCCAATATAATTTTTATAAGAATAAGATGTATACCTGAGGTTATGCCAGGTAAACATGCTTGATTTTGATATTTATTTGTAAAAAAAACTATTGAGGGAGTTCCCTGGTGGCCTAGTGGTTAGGATTACGGGCTTTCACAGCTGTGGCCCAGGTTCAGTCCCTGGTCAGGGAACTGAGATCTCACAAGCCTGGTGGCATGGCCAAAAAAAAAAGCTATTGAAATACTTGTTAGTATCTTAAAGCAAAGAGCAAAAGCCATCCCTTTTTAACCAAGATCTAATTGCTTTTATCCATAATCTAGAAATCAGTGACTGAGTACAACTGTACATAGATAAGCCCAAAGTGGTTCTTTCCAAATTTTGTGAAAAAGAATTGAGAACAAAATCCTCAATTCACTCAGATCAGAATGTTTAGAGTATGTCTTCTAATAGCAGAACAACAAATTATGATGATGTCAAGCTTTCTTAGCCATTATAGTAATGCTTTCAACTTAATATTTATAGAATTGTGGAGAGATTTTTCCCAAACTGCAAAAAACAGTATCTGAGAAGTTTTCAGAGACAATTATTTGGACTTCATTCTGTGATGAATTTCATAAGATATCATTTAAAAGTTTTCTTTAGCATAGCAAATGCATTCTAGAAAAATTCTAGAAATACTCATGGATGCTAGTTCAATACAAAGTTCTGGGAAATTGCTAGAAAGAGATATGAATTCCCAGGTTATGTACATAAAACTCACATGTAATAAATGTTTTTGGAGTCAGAACCTAGTACTGCAGTTCATCACATGAATTGCCTTTAGAGCTGAACTTTTAAGACAATAAATTTCAAATAAAAATAAAGCATTTGGGCTCCCCTGGTGGTGCAGTGGTTGAGAGTCCGCCTGCCGATGCAGGGGACATGGGTTCGTGCCCCAGCCCGGCAAGATTCCACATGTGGTGGAGCGGCTGGGCCCGTGAGCCATGGCCGCTGAGCCTGCGCGTCCGGAGCCTGTGTTCCGCAGCCGGAGAGGCCACAACAGTGAGAGGCCCGCGTACCGCATAAATAAATAAATAAATAAAGCATTCATATCCATATGACTTTTTAAAAGACTTAAGGGCATTCAGAGCAAATGAAATGATCTGATTCAGTAGAGAAGACTTGAGAGCAAGCATTTTCCATTGTACTCCCATATTAAATGGCTTTTTCCTTTCAAAAATTCTATTGACCATAATTATGAAAATGACTGATAATTTAGATAATATTGTATCAGAATTTCAAAAACAAAACCTGAATGTCTACTTTAAAAGTGATCATCCCTCAAGGGAACACCTAATTAAGGTCACAGCCATTGGCCATAACATCCAACCAGAACCAGAACCAGACTATATGGTAAATTTATAAGAAAGTTTTCCAGTTTGAGTAGTCTCAACAGGGTCACACAAAGATTAATAGAAATGACATTTTATGTAAGAAGCAGAAGATATAAGTATAGGAAATAAGAATGCAGAGAACTAAGAATACTAAGATTTAAAGAGAGAATAAGCAGTTGTCAAAGACTTATTAACACTCAGTTGCATTAATCTATAGAGAAGGAGAGATTACTTGAGAGTACACGGAATACTTCCTGTTTTGATATTTTCTTTTCCTCATAAAGGCAATCAAGAAAATAAAGGGAAAAAAATAGATTTTATGGCAAAAGCTTTCTGAAAAAATCACAATGCTCTTATTAATTATATTTTAATATTTCCTCTTCAAAAAAACTTTAAACTAATAGATTTTTTTAAATAATTATTTTACTTAATATTAAATGTTGAAAGGGAATCTGAAGAAACAAAGTCAGACTGTCATCTTGGTTTGTTTTAATTTAGTGATGAGTAATTTCTATAGAGATTGTCTCCTGACTCCTGATTATAAAGATAAGTAAAATTTAATTTTTGAGACTGTTTACTAAAGGTGAACTATAATAATGACCTCAGTGTTTATCATACATACATCAGTAGCAATTTGACTTCAACTTTCTGAAGTTATCAGGGTAACTGATCTCAAAACCTTCTCATTATAACAGTTTCTAATCCAATTTTTATTTCATATTTAATACATCATTATTCTAATATTTAAGTTACAGGGCAGAATAAATACAGGGATGGAATTTCCTAAAGAATTAGGTAAACTTAAATTCACAACAGGGAATTAAGACACAATATGAGTTATGAGAAAGTTATGATAAGCCACAACAAACTTAGGGAATATCTCCTTTACCTTATTTCTTCTTGAGTTAACATTAAATTTCAGCTACTAGAAAGAATTTAAAGGCAATGAATGAACAGCAAGTAGATTTTCATAATAACACTGCCTGTTTCTCCTCAGTGTAGTATTATTACCTTCTACCTAATATGACAGAACAAGAATATAATGAGACCTGACCCCATAACATCAATCCGGGAACTTCCCCAGTGATGACCGTTCAATGAGGCATTGAAACATGCCCCCTTTCACTGCACTTCCCTTTAAGCACTTAAAGCTTCTTAAAATATGAACTTTAACTTCCATAGTAGGCATCTAATGAACTTTATGTCACTAATTGTCCGATTCTGGGTCATATCTATAGCTGCTGTGAATGAATGAAAGTATCTGTGGATAGATATGTGTTCTGAAAACAGGAATATCTGTCAAAATAGTCTATATATATATAGTTTGGTTAGACAATTCATCACAATTTTAAAAGTACAATCATTTAACTGTTAAGACATTTTATAACAAGAAAAAAAGATCCAAATAAAGAATGTTGTCAAACCTAAAGAAGCTTTTAAGTTGGACTAGAAATACCAGGGTGTAGAGTGCAGCAAGTTGAAAGATGTGTCCTGCCCAGATTTGCCAAACAAAATCTTGTTTTATGATTTTAGAATTAGTTCTTAAACAGATAGGACCACAAACTCTAGAGTGATTTATTCTTCCAGGTAGTTGAGCTTTTCTTTCCTGTGATAAGCAGTTTTCATATGACCAGAAGAATATGGAAAAAATGCAGATGTCTAATTATTGATATTTTGGTGTTTGTTGTGTCATATTTTGTTGAAAAGACAGAAATATTGTAACACTCCACATTCTTTCTGTTTCCTTTCCATGCAACCCAGCTGACCTTTTCTGAAGCCATAAGAAACAAAGCCAGATTATCCATCACTGGGAGTGTAGGTGAAAATGGCCGCGTCTTGACACCCGACTGCCCAAAGGCTGTACACACTGGAACTGCAATTAGACAAAGTTCAGGATTGGCTGTCATTGCATCAGACCTACCATAAAAACCAAAAAAATAATTGAGTGCCTTAATTAAACTGTTGGTGACTGATGGAAACGCAGCCCTGAGGGACATGCTAAGTGCAGGTCTTCGCAAACCAATCCTTTGGCTGAGAGCGGGAAGTACATCCTAAGGCGCTGAACATCAGCAGCAGCAACATGTGCATGAGCTCAGCTCGGAAACCCAAACTCAGATTTTATATCAGGAAATCTCAAAATTTAGAATTTTTTGGGGGGAGTGGGTGGGGGGAGCTGGGATGGGTGTATCAACAGCAACAGATTTCACTTGAGTGAACTTAAAAACGAATCAGACATGCGAGTTAGCACATTAAACTGTGAAGTTCTTGCTCAGAAAGGCCTCAGTCTTCACTCCAAGGGATAAAATAGTTACAGAAGTCAATGAATATGCTAACCTGTGTCTCCAGAACGCCCATATATTCAATGGAAGACTATCCAGCCAAGAAAACAAAATCACTAAACTCTGATAAGAAAATAATAAACAAACATGTAAATCCTGTGAAAAAATTTAAAGGAAGTATTTACACTTACTTTGGAGAAAACAAATACTGAAACATGCTTGCTTTTTAACTGACGTAAATTCGGTAGAGGACAACACAATTCTTTTTTCTAACCATCTTAGGGAACAATACATTGCAATAATTGAAATAAATGCCACCACTGTAAGAAACTTTAGAGACTTTTTTAAAATAAAAGTTGTTGGTCATCTTCTTGTTTGCTGTAACCTTCACTCTGTCACATGAATCAGTGTCCACAGATTACATTTGTCTCACTACCAGGAACAAAAACAAAATGAAGACAACATTAACGTAAAATCATCAGTCCACAATGTAGACTCAGAAGAGACTACGGGTCACTCATATTATCTATATTATTTATAATCTTATTCTGTGTACAAAATTGTGGTTTTTGTACCCACAAAAAGAATAAACAACAGACATTCTTAAAATATTTACAGAGCTTAAAGTTTTTTCTTATCATTATAAAAGTTATTTGAGAAATTGTAAGACTATAGGTGGGATTGTAGAAGTAAATTGTGGGCCATATTTAAAAATGTAGCAAGCCCTTATTATTTTTGCATAGTAAGCTACTCTTTTTAACAGATCTTTGCTTCATTAGCAGTTAAATTGTCAAAGATGGAGTGTTTAAATTGGGGAATGAATCATTGTCATAACAGCAACATACCCGGTAATTATGTACTGAAATTTTACTTGGCTGTATTTTGCTGCATAAAATAATGTGTCTCTTGGGCTTCTCTCCCCATTCCCATTGTTCCATTTAAATAATTTGAAGGCACTGATAATATTTTGTGGTAGACAACGTATGAAGAATTAGTCTTTGTTGAAAATTATACATGTTTATTTACAAAAATCACCTTAGTTATGTAGGGATTAAATTAACTTGGTTCAAAAGGAGGTTTAGATCATTTGAAATAATAAGTACCATAACACAGATAAACATCACAATACTTAGAGATCTTGGCAGAAAGCACAAGATAGGATGATTTTGGAAGTCTGGCCTTGAAGGATGAGTTGAGTTTTCATAGGTGGAGTTTTTACAGGTGTTAAAAACCTTATAGGTGAGCAGTGACCCAAAGTTTGGCTTGTCAATGGATTGTTTAAGGAGTATATGCAACTGGATGAGCTGAAGAGAAATGGGTGTGATATCATGGAAGATAAAATTGGAAAAGTTGAAAGACTGATCACCTCGCTTCAACTCTCAAGATTCTCATCCCCCATTCAATTTCTGTGCTGCAGTAAGAGCAATCTTAAAAAGTGCAAATCTGATAGCTTACACACACACACACACACACAAACACACACATAGAGTTCCCTCAGGAAAAATTGCAAGCTCTTGAGCAAAGCAAATGAATTGCTTTATAATCTGGCCCTTACTTATTTCTTCCATGAATTCTCTCCCCTCTACCCAACTTCTGCTGCCCATAAATGAACCTCAAAAGCAGGGACACTGCATTTTCTATTTCCTCAATCTATAACACTTCCCTATTTCCTCTTTACCTGATTCACTGGTACACATTCTTCAGTACTCAAATCATATTTTACCTGCCCCAGGAGGATTTCCATGACTATCTACCAGCCCCTGCCCATGAGACTGAGTTAGGTGTCCTTTTGATGTTTTGTCCCCATCACAGCACTTACCATACTGCATTGTAATTGCCTGTGTACTTGTCTGTTTAACTACTAGACTGTAAGCTCTTTGAGGGCAGGGACTGTCTATCTTGTTCACAGTTGTATCCCCAGCACCCAGCACAGTGCCTGGCATATTGTAGGTGCTTAATAAACATTTGTTGAATGAATGAATGAATTGAATTGATTTAATAGAAGCAAGAAAAGACAACATCTTTCATCATTAACAGTCTTTTCCTCATTAACAGTGTGTGTTAAGTATATAGTGAGTCAAAGTGAAGAGTGAAGGTTGGCTGATTTCATGGCATTGTCTACCTCATTGTCTACAGCACTAAAAAAATATATATGATCCGACTGATTTTCTGATCAGATAAGAAGGTATTCCATGTAATTGTATCTAGCTATGAAGTAATTTGTTTAGCTAGAGAAACTATCATAAGGTGATTAAGGTTTTAGCCATGCTTCTAAAAGTAGCTTTCATTTAAGTCACAGAGTGGATTAGTGATATAAATTTAAGAAGTTATATTTCTTATAGTTTTATTTCTATATTAGTAATACTATTATATGTTTAAATTTCTGTGTTCCTTATAGAATAATTTTGCCAAAAACAAAATTTTAAATTTGACTTTAGTAAAAAGTGATATCTATTTAGACTCTAATCTGAAGAAATGCTATAAAGCTAGGAAATGTGATTTTTAAACATGTATGTCTAAGTTAAAAACATTTAAGCTAAAAACCTTAGTTCCATAAAGTAAAGAACTCAATTATCAAGCAAGCATGATCACCATCTAGGGCAGAATTTCCTGAACATTTTAGGAAAAGCCAATTTTGAAACTACATCAGCTAGCACATGATGACCACATATGAAAGATATAAAGAGCCCTCAGGAGAACCACTTTGCTACACTCAATTCAATAGCTACTAATTGAAAATGCCACACTGTTACTACACTTGTTTCAGGCTTGCTTCAGGTTGCTCCCTGGTCTCCCACTTATCAACTGTCAACTCATTCCATTTCCCTAAGGCATAGCACATAGTGGGTGTTCAATATATTTGTCAGTGCATAAACACAACTTTATATAGTCAGTATCAGTGAAAAAAATGGTCTAATAGCTTTCCCAGAAAATAGACTATCCCAATTTTCAAAATCAATAAAGTGTTAATAAGAACTAAATGAAAAGTAACATCTAGGAGAGTTTCTGAAAAGACAAATTGAAATTGCACAGATTCATTTGCCTTATATTTATCAATATGATGCTGCATGAAAAGTGTGCTTTTTCATGCACATTCATAAACAGTTTTTAATTTCACATAGTCCAGCAGGCTAGAGTACTTAGCATTTGTAAAACCAAATGCAAATGTAATCAGTAGTATGTTTATATATTTTCTAAACAGCTAGCACCAGTAATATTTTCAAAAGAGAGCTGCTCTTTAAGAAAAGATTTTGATAAATTATGAAGAGCAAGAGATGAGATTTGGAAATTGTATCTCAAAAAACAAGAGAGAGATAAATTACTTTCCATGAAATAAGAATAACCCATTTATTTATCTTGCTTTAATTTTATTTTCTTTGGGCGAAAAAGTGGACTGAAGAATGAGGAAAAATAAAAGATTAGGGAAAAAAGAGACATTAAGGGAGCAGAAATTGGGTAAAAGGCCAATAGGATTGGGTGGCCAAAAGAGCTTACGGGAACAGGAATGTTTGGCATATGATTTTTCCATTGTAGGTATGCAATGTTTGATGTATTCCTTTTCCCATGACCTGCAGATTAAAATTTCCTACATGCCACAGACTGGTATTTGTGGTTGGATTAAAGGAGGGAGTCAAGGAGAAAATTCTAAATCCCATGTTTGGGTTGATGCCAGAAATAGCCCTAATAATATGTCTGCTTCCCACAAAAATGTGCAGAAATCTAGATTGAGACTTGTCCTTCCACATGGCAAAGAATGAACGTTCATTTTACTTTTTTCTGGATTTGAAGAAGATGGCAGGTTAGGAAGACCTCCAGAATACATAAACTTTTTTAGCCACTTGTGCTGACTGCAAAGTGTCATGAACAACAAAATAAATCATAAAACATAAATCATTATTTAATTATATAATAAGATCATTAAGTAAATAATCTGTTAAATTATAATGTCTAATTCATGGCTTGAGTGAAGTTATTTATGAGATTTGTAATCCTGTAATCCCAAACACAAAGAGAATCTGCTTAAGTAGAAGATTATTATAACTTCCCCCTCAGATTTCATACACTTGGCCAACACTTCTAAAGTTCCTAAACATTTAGTAATGGCTGAAAACTGTGTCATTGGCAATCAGTATTTCAATATATGATTGAATGAGCTGATTGACTAAATGAATAAAGGAACTAATGAGTGAAAACCAACTAAAGACGTTCGTGATCATTGCCTGTATAGAAATTTCTGTCAGCTCCCTGAGCTAATTTTTTGCATAAATGTGAATGCTTTTAACATTTTCTAACAAAGAAGGTATCTGAAACAATTTAGGCCATATCTGTATACATCTAGAGAATGACCTTAGTCACTGAAAACTGGTGCAGTTCCAAACTTCTAAAATGTGGGGGTTGATTAATTCTACCTGCCTGAGACTTTCTCAGAGCCATACTTTACAACAATATTTTGTTTATAACTCTAAACACAATCAAAGTCTATTAGCATCATGAATCTTCTAAGACCACCATCAGAGCAGGTCAGAGCTTCCAGATCTTTGGGCCTCAGACCTGTACAGGAAATTCTGATACTTTGACTTGAGTTTCACTTGAAACTTTCAACCCATTAGGCCTACCTCCATGTCATCTTTGGTCACAGCCACACTTTGAAATTATCCCAATAATCTCTCTCTCTCATCCCACATTCTCCTCCCAACATTCTTCTGCACTTCTCATCTTTCTCCCCATTCATCTTCTCACTGCTTCCCTCTCTCCCTGACTTTGCCACCATTCTTCCTAGTGTCTTCATTATAAAGTTAGGAAACTCCTGATAGCCTCAGTCTCTCCCCAGAGCACTGTCCAATCTCCTAACAATATCACTCCACATACAGTAGTGGAATTTAGAAGGAAAAGGAATGGCAATCCTTACAAGTATACATCTTCTTCCATGCATTAAAAAACCTCTCCTCTTTGAAGTGTATGTCATGTAAGCACACTGTCAAAATGGACTGCCTACTTGTCCATTTTGTCTGCTGACTTCTCTGTCATTGCTTCACATTCATCAAGGACTATGGCATTTGGCTTATTCATTCTTTCCAAGTTCTCTTATCGTATTGAACAACTTCAAGGTCAATGTAGGTGCTTCATGTAAGCCCTAGCCCTGCAGTTCTTTTACCCTATGTTATTTAAGTCACCCATACCAATAGACATGTAGCAGACCTTATGATCATTTACCTTCTTATCTTTCTCCAGATGATAACTCAATTCTCACCTTCCTTTCATACCCTAGTCACTGAAAAGAGTGGCCTTTTATCCCTTGTTTAACCCCTCTATTTGGCTCCATCACTTTACCAAAATGTCCATCCCAAGGTCACAAGTAAACATCCTATAGCTGTATTAACTAAAAATTTTTAATGTGGATCTAAACAAATTGATCTCTTTACTTTTCAGTTTTCCCCCTAATCTCCTGTTCATTCCTTCTCAGTCTATTTTATGTTCATTATTCCCTCCAACCAAACCTTCCATGTTGATATACCCAGGGTTGTATCCTCTTCCCCTTTCTCTTCTCAGGACATAAACCAACTGGTTGATCTCACCATCATTAAGATGTCTACAATCATCTATACATTATTAGCTCAGAAACCTTTATCTTCCATTCTAGTCTCACATATCCAGTTTTCTAGTGGTTATCTCTTTTTGACTTAATTGCAACTTGTCAAACTTTCACTATACATTCCTACCTCCTTTTATATTCCCTCAGTGAGTGGCACTAACATTTACCTAATCTCCCAAATTAGAAACATGAGAATCATTCCAGAACCACTTTTCTTCATCATTCTCACATATAATTAATCAACATCTTAAATTTCTTTTTTTTTTCTTTTTTTTTTTTTTTTGTGGTACGCGGGCCTGTCACTGTTGTGGCATTTCCCGTTGCAGAGCACAGGCTCCATACGCGCAGGCTCAGCGGCCATGGCTCACGGGCCCAGCCGCTCCGTGGCATGTGGGATCTTCCCGGACCGGGGCACAAACCCGTGTCCCCTGCATCGGCAGGCGGACTCTCAACCACTGCGCCACCAGGGAAGCCCCTTAAATTTCTTGTATGTCCTGAATATCTCCTTATTCTGTCCCATGCTCTTCATCCATACAATGACTGACTTAATCAAGGACTCAATCTCTCACTGTAAGTACTACAGTTGTATCCTAATAGTTTTCCTTGCTTCTTTTCTCATTTATATCCCCCTCTAGTCCATTTCTACATGGCTGCCAGAGAGATTTTTCTAAAACACAAATATGATCCTGTCACCTTCCTGATTAAAATAATTCAACATCCATTATATGAGGCCTATCAACATCTCTAGTATGTTCCCTCACCCACTTTTCATTCCATTAATGCCAAATTACTATCACAGCTCTAGTTTTCAGAATGCTTCATGTTCTTTCCCTTCTAAGTCTTGCCAAATATTACCTCTACCTGAAATGTGTCTGTCTCAAAAATGATTCCTAACTATAACCAACAGAACTACTTTCGTCCAGTTAAGCAAAAAGTGAATTTATTAATGAATACTAGAGAATTCACAGAATCTCTGGAAAACACAGAGAGTCAGACATGAAGCCAAAGCAGCCAAGAACAATGCCTAAGTTATATCACTGATCTGCCCCTAACTATCAGTGGACACATAGAGCAAGGACACTGAACAAGGGACACTGCTGTTAGGACTTCTGTTTTCTACTGCCTCTGAAGGTGGGGTGCCTCCCAGCATACTCTGTCACCTTCTCAGGAAATAGGCTCCATGCATGGCCTCTTTCCAATCAAAACTGCAGGCATGAATTCTAACTGGTGGTTTTAGATGATAACTCAGTTCTCTCCTTCCTTTTGCACAAGGGAGACAGGGAAACCAAATACTGGCTTCCACTTTAGGGAAGCATACTGTGGAAAATATATGTAAGAAGATATTCAAAAGAAGCTGAGTGGGCACAAAGTGTGGCATATATCAACTGTCCCTTTGTGCCTAATTCCTACTCATCCAACAAGAAGCATTCTGGAA